GCAAGTTGTTGCACCAAAACTAATGGATGCTGTCTTTAATTACACTTTACAAGTATCCCGTATGGAGGAACAGTAGGTTCAAGGAGACAAAGCCGAATAGCACGCAAATATTTAACAGGCCACAGAGGCTGATTCTGTCCATTTCTAAGCCAGGGGTGGTAAAACCGCATGTCCACCTGTGCCATTAAAACTCAAAGACAGGCTCCAGAAGCTTCTGGGTATCACTGCTTATCCTACAGAGGCAAGGAAGTCTCGGATGCTGCCAGAGAGACGGTGAGCAGGAAAAGTTTCCCGTGTATAAGATGTTAAGCTTTTAGGTTGCAGGCAAACAGATAATGACATAGAAAAAATGACGTAGGAAAATTATTTTATCACAGTATCAGTGAGATTTTGTTCTCCTAGAAGTTCACAGTAGGACTCATGTAAAACACATTAATGAATGGTACCCTCTTTGAAAGCATGTATTTCTGATGGTGAAGAAAGTAGGGATATTTTGAGGTCTACGCTCCTTGGAAACCCTATGGGGCAGTTCTACGTCGTCCTATAGGTTGCCATGAGTTGGAATCGCCCTGAAGGCAATGGGTTTAATGCTTAAAATTCACTTAGATGAGTAGCAAACCTTATAAGCGAAGGAAAAGTTGTACTTTGAGGACACTAGGTACCAAGGATCACGAAAATGGTGCAGGACCGGGCAACGTTTCACTGTATTACAAAAGGTCACCATGTATCAACGTTGACTCAGTGGCAACTAACAACAAATAAGAAACAAAACAAAACCTCCTGGGCACTAGGAGGAGCACTTAAGATCAAGAGAAGAGGCCGGTAGCAGGGTGGGTTAGGGTGTGGGCTGTGGATTTAAGTACTGGCTCCACCACTGCTCAGTTGTATGTCTTGGGGCAAGTTACCAAACCCATACGCCTCAACTTCCCCCATCTCTAAACTGGGCACAGTAATATCAGCTGTTCAGAGGGTTGCTGAGGATTTTAAAGATACAGTTACATGTAATGTCCCCACTATAGCACCTGGCACAGCGAAAGCACCAATCAAACCCAATGCTGTGGAGTCGATTCGGATTCACAGTAACACTTAGGACAGAGTAGAAGCCTGCCACAGAGCGGCTGGTGGGTTGGAACCTCCAGCACTTAATTAACCATTGCACCACGAGGGCCCCTTTAGCGAAAGCCACAAAAGGGTAACAAATGTTAGCTCACCTTTATCCTGAGAATGCAACTACGTCACACATCACGAAGAATCGCACATTAAATAAGAAGTAAACACTTCATTTGGAAGCGGGCATTTGAGCAAGGATGTTAAAGAATGCTGAAGGCCACCACACCCAGGCGTCTCCAGATAATTTCACATATTAACCAGCTGGCCACATGGAGAAGGTAACTACCTTCCCCAGCTTCTAAAAGCTGATGCTGTTTATTAAATGTAGGGGCAGCATTTTGGGGTAGTGAGATGTAAGAAAAAAATACAATTACCGCTGCTCTCACTTTGATCAGCCTCTAAAATGCTTCTTCGTGCCTTATTCTCTGCTGTCCATGTTGGCCTGGGATCTGGTCCCTGCTGGGTGTGTCCACTGTGACGGTGAGGTGCACTTGTGTGAGCGGCTCTGAGTCAGAATCTCTGCAAATCCCAGTGCCTTTACGTGGTACCGTCACATCCCATTCACACGTACACACTCACGTGCACACAGACACACCCACCCACGTGTGCGTACACACATGCCCACATGCCCACATACACATATGTGCCTCCACACACCCATATACACACGCCCGGACACATGTACACACACACACACACATACATCCTTCCGAAGTGCCACAGTCTCCGAGGTGCAGGACCATGAGCCATGGTCCAACTCCATAGCAACAACAACAACAACATGGTCTCCCTACGAACACAGCAAGTTAACCTGCCCACTCCAGTTAGAACGTCACGTCACCATCGGACTACAAGGACTGGCCCGGCACTTGTTGGCGGTAGCCCAGCGAGGAGAATTTGGTGTCTATGTATACAACCAAGACAGGGTTTTGTTGTTTTGTTTTGTTAGATGAAAAATAAACTCATTGCCGTCGAGTCGAATCCTACTCATAGCGACCCTACAGGACAGAGGAGAATTGCCCCACAGAGTTTCCAAACAGCGCCTGGTGGATTCGAACTGCTGACCTTTTGGTTAGCAGCTAAGCTCTTAACCACTACGCCACCAGGGTTTCCATATGAAAAAATAGGCCCATTAATACAAGAACACTGCAGCTCTTCAGGGACATCCTGAATTGTCCATCACAGGGCTACCCCAAGAGAGAAGAAGCAAGAGACATAGCATTCTTTTACTTTAAGACCCTCATCTTCCAGACGAGAACTCAGATGCCAGGAGAGTTATATGAATTATCTGAAGTTGCACAGCAGGCGGACCCATGAGAATCGGCGGCCAGGACTCTGCTGTGGCCCCCAGACCCATGCTGTGTCTGCAGCAGCCTCTCACAGCCGCTCTGCCATGTCATCTCACACACTGTCTTTGATCGTGGAGGGAGATTTCAGCCACAGTGACCTGTGACTTAAGGTGGACAACACTCATCGGTGTTTAACTTTCACAGAAGCCACTCAGAATCCCTGTGGCTGGTGATGCCCGACGCTGATGACATCCCTGGTGCCACAGAAAGCAGCGATACCCAGGAAAGGGCATGGCCGCCACAGTTCTACCCACTGGGTGGACAAAAGGCATTAGCAAGAGGCAAAGCTGTCAGGGAAATGCAAATTCGAACCACAAATTAGCCTATCAGAATGGCTAAAATTGAACATGGTGGCCACAGCAAATGCTGGCAGGGAGACACTGGATTGCTTACACGTGTTTACTCTTAATCCATGTTTCATTACGAACAGGGCCTATCAGGTTGAATACGCAACATTATTATCCATTCCTTTTTCTATGTAATTCAAAAAACAGAAAGGATCAAACAGAAACTCCTGACCCTACAAACATATTCAGCAAACCGCTGGTGGTATGTATGAGCAACAGTAAAGCCACAGTCTGACAGCTTTTTATAAAATAACCGTACAATTACCACACCAGTACGAACAACTCTGACTCGTGGCGACCCCATGCGTGTCAGAGTGGAACTGTTCTCCATAGGGTTTTCAATGGCTGATGTTTTGGAAGTGGATCACCAGGCCTTTCTTCCAAGGCATCTCCATACAACCCAGCGATTGCATTCCTGGGCATTTATTCCAGAAAACTGGAATCTCTGTTCATATAAAAACTGTTACATGAATGTTCACAGCACTCTTATTCGTAATAGCCCCAAACCAGAAATAGCTGAGATATCCTTCAACAGATGAATGAACCAGCTGTGGTCCTTCCGTACCATAGAATACTACTCAGCAATAAAAACGTACAAACTTATTGATACATGTTGTCATGGATTGAATTGTGTTCCCTAAAAATATATGTCAGTTTGGTTAGGCCATGATTCCCAGTATATGTGGTTGTCCTCACTCTGTGATTTTCCTATGTGTTATAAATCGTAATCTCTGCCTCTGGTTAAAGACGATTAGGGTGAGATGTAACACCCTCGCTCGGGTCACATCCCTGATGCAATGTAAGGGGTGTTTCCCTGCGGTGTGGCCTGCACCACCTTTTATCTTACAAGAGATAAAAGGAAAGGGAAACAAGCAGAGAGTGGGGAATCTTATACCACCAAGAAAGCAGTGCCGGGAGCAGAGCGCATCCTTTGAACCTGGGGTTCCTGCGTGGAGAAGCTCCTAGTCCAGGGGAAAATTGATAATGTCTCCAGAGCTGACAGAGAGAGAAAGCCTTCCCTTGGAGCTGATGCCGTGAATTTGGACTTGTAGCCTACCAGACTGTGAGAAAATAAATTTCTGTTTGTTAAAGCCACTCACTTGTGGTATTTCTGTTATGGCAGCACTAGATGACTAAGACATATGTCAACACTCAGATAAATCTCCAGGGAATTTAGTGGAGTGAAAGAGCCAATCCCTAAAGGTTAGCTACTGTATGGCTCCATTTATATAACGTTTTTGAAATGACAAAGTTTTAGAAATGGACAGGTTAGTGGTTGATCGGTGTTAGGGATGGTAGAGGTGGAGGGGAGAGGTAGGTGCAGTTATAAAAGAACAACATGAGGGACCCTGTGGTCATGGGAACGCCGAGTGTCTTGACTGTGGGAGGGATAAAGACACACATGTGGTAAACTTGTATAGAACCAAATACACACACAAACACAAACTGGGAAAATCGGAATAATAAACTGGACTGTATCGGTGTCAATTTCCTGGTTGTGATAACGGACTACAATTTTACAAAGTGTTCTCATCGCAGCCAACTAGGTGACATGCACACAAGCTCTCACTGTATTATTTCTTAAACTGCATCTGAAAATCTACAATAATCTCAATAAAAATAGCAAGGAAAGAAAAAGGCCCACAGAAACGTTTCCTGAAAGTCGCGTGACGGGAGAACCCTGTGGTCACTGCTGGTGCTTACAGAAATTATAACTCAACGAGCGAGGCAGTTAGTCGGCGGCCCCCTAGGGGAGATGATAAACAAGGCACAAGCTGAATATGTCAAAAGCATGAGGAAATGCTTATGATTTTTTTTTTAATCTGAAATACATGAAATGCAAACACCTTTTTCAAAAGCCCAGTACAGAGCTGAGCGTTGCTTTGGCTAATAAAAACATGTGGTTAAAATCTGATGGCAAACGTACAGCAAGCAGAACCTTTCTGCCCTAGAAAAAGGCAAGGAAGGTTCTGGGGCAGGTTTGTTTCCCTGCAGGCAGCAGAGTACAAATACTTAGTGCCAGAATCTCCTGCTGGCATAAGGAAGTCATCACGCCCTCCAGGTTCATTTCCCAAAATAATGGTTTGCATCCCAGAAGCAGCGAGAAGCACCATGATATCCCAGCAACACCTCTGCTCCAAACCAAACGTGAACCAGGAGCCTGGAAGAAGGTGGGAGACTCCCCCGTACTTACTTATTCTGCATCATGTTCATTATAACCCAGTCGAAAGGGTAGACATTCTTCCCAATGAGATTCTTAAACATGATGAATGTTTCCATCAGGAAATCCTGAAATAAAAAGCAAAACATTTGAAACAGGTCACCAAAAAGAACTTGAAAACACCACCCCCGTGAGTGATGAGGTTACAAAGGACCCCATTTTTCAGCTGAATGAAAACATTCTAAAAACCAACGAAGATGCATTTTACAGGAGCTGTGTGTTCGTCGAGTCTTTCTGTCGAAATGAGCATCCTTCATCTGTGATGATTTTTTCCAAGGATATGTTCTGAAATGTGGCTGCAAGAATGGGCTCAAGCGTAATAGCGATTGGGAGGATGGTGCAGGACCAGGCGGCGTTGGGGTCCTGCTGTGGGTTCTGCTGTGCCTGGGGTCGCTATGAGGGGGAACCAACTCAAGGGCACCGAACGACACAGCACGTTCTGAAACAGACCCTTGGCTTGTCTCTCTAACAGTCAGAAGGTAAATCCCCAAAGGTTACAAACATGCATTCACTGTGCCTCTGCCAATCAGAAAACACGATTTTACAGAACACCACAGACAGCTTTTATCTTTTTCTCGTATTTACTCTTAATCCATGTTTCATTACGAACAGGGCCTATCAGGTTGAATATGCAACATTACTATCCATTCCTTTTTCTATGTAATTCGAAAAACAGAAAGGATCCAACAGAAACTCCTGACCCTACAAACATATTCAGCAAACCGCAAACAGTAATCGTGGGGTCTTGTTGCTAAACTCTTCCACTGAGCAGCTAATCCAAACCGAACCTGTTGCCATCGAGGTGACTCCAACTCATGGTAATCCTAAGTGTTGCAGAGTAGAGCTGTGCTCCACAGAGTTTTCTGTAATCTTTCTGGAAGCCCATTGCCAGGCCTTTCTTCCGCCCTACTGCTGGGTGGGTTCGAACTGCCAACGTTTCAATTAACCAAGTGCAAACCTTTTGTGCCACTCAGGGACCTTTCACAGGGCAGAACATCCCATAAACTGAGCAGTTATGCCTTCTGGGGTCTCACAGACAACCCTGTGCCCTTCATAAGCTGATGTGAAATGCTGCAGGGCTGGGTCTACCCTGCTGCTCCACCCCGCACCCACGCTGATGAGGCCGCCCCTGGCTGCGGGGAGGGGTACCAGTTTCCTAGGGGCTCCACCCTGTGCCTGGCAGGATGAGGAGACCTTTTGGTCTCTAGGGGTGTGACACCCGTTGTGTGCTAATGGGAACAACACAGGAGGTTATTGTGCAAAGCACACAGGCCTGATAGCGCACATGCTCGCTGGAGAGCTGGGGTGGGCAGGCGAAAGGCAACCGAGAACAGACTTAGAGAAACGAAGGCACAGTTGAGATTGCCAAATGAGTGGACATTTCTCATTTATTTAATCTACTGAATCCCAAGCAGGTACAGTGGTTGTGAAGACTAAGGTGGTGAACAGAATTTAAGGAGCCAAGAAAGCAATTCCCAGCACCCGGTTCTCCACAGAATTCATGGTGCACAGAGGCACAAGATGAATTCGACACCAACAATGTCACTGGTTGCTGTGGAGGCGGCTGCAGCTCATGGCGACCCCACGCAGAGTGGATGGAGATGCTGCCTGGTCCTGCGCCATCTTCAGGATGGTTGGTGGGTTTGAGTCCACTGTTGAGGCTATTGATAACAAGAATAAGCGGAGGTAAAAAGTTAAGATACTTTCTCCGCAACTCTAAGGGCAAGGCTGACTTCAGCAAGTCAGGTCTGTTGTGTGGGAGGTTTGGTATACCCCCTACCATGAATGAAGACTCAGGGAGTGAGCGGGCGAGGGGCTCCAATGACCTTTTTACAACAGAAGGCTCCAGGACAGGAGAAGTCGGTGGCTGTGCAAAGTCAAGAGGAAAGACAGTTTGCTGTCCTCTAAGCTCTCCAACACGCACTCCTACCACCAGCCCTCAGGACCGGAAGCTGTCAGGGTGCCTCTGACACCTGAATGACCTGGTGTCCAGCTTAATTACTGAACTTCACATTTCATTACTTAGTGTCCCCACTGTGTCAAGAGTTTCCTGTTGTGATGATCAGGTTGCACGATTCGCTGACTGAGTGCCGTAATTTCGTCACAGCTCTATTTGCATGAAATTGCCGGCTTTCTTACTGATCCCTCCTCAAAGCCTAATAATTGCAACGCTGGGCCTGGTTTTTATTATTCTGGAAGAGAAGCATATTCTCCCAACTTCTTTTTTCCTAGGAGACACAGTCCCGCACTTCATTAGTACGGCTTAGCTGCTGAATTCTGGCACTTTGCTGATCAAACAAAACTGCATGTTGCGGGAGCTGAGGTTTTGCAAGCCTTCCTCGTCGATCTGCACAATTCACTAGCCGTGGCGGTGGTCCCCACGGCTAACGAGGCTTCGCTTGCCAAGGCAACAATGGCTCTAAGTCAACCAGCAGAGTTGGAGGGCTCATGTTACATTTTGTGAAGAAAAAAAATATTTTAATAGTTGTAAAAAATATAGATAACACCTCATTTGCCAATCCAACATTTTTCATGGAGACAAGCACTGAAATTCAGTGCTTCCTAAATAATAACGCCCCTCACTCCCTCTTTGCCCCTGGTAGCCACTATTAAACTCTGATAGCAACATATCTACCTATTTGATGATTTCATCATTCAACACCCACGTGTTCCTGCTCTATCTGTTGGTTTGATGATTCACAGGGGCGCCATATAATGAGTTGGCAGCTCCGATAATAACCATCAAGGCATTCCAGAGGAAAACCCTCACGTCACAGACCCATGTGGGTTTCTTTCCATAGCCATCCCCACCCACTTGAAGAGACGGGCACCTCGCTCACCTGGACTGCCGCAAAGGACCCCTAACCCGGAGTCCACTCTTGTCTCTCCTGGTCCCTCATTCCACCAAGGGTGACCCATTCAACGGGCAAATCTGATCAAGACACCAATTTGTCGCCAACCTCCACTCAACTCTCACGCTGAGTGGCTTCCCAATGCTCTTAGACTAAAGACAAAGCTTTTTAACTTGTAGAACTAGGAAATCACCACCTTGCTCTGCCAAAGAAGGAACTGTTTCAGACAAGGACCATTAACTGAGGCTAAACATATCAGATGAAAGACTGTTGGAAAACAAGGTATTTGCCAACTTTCTGTGGATCCAAACCATTGCTCACAGATTAGGTGATAAATGCAAAGGCCGTGTGTGTACATCTTTACAATGGAGAGATCTGGTGGTTACCAGGTTACTACCTTTTAACCAAATGATCAAACTTAGCATCACCAACAGTGGGTCAGCGTGACAGTTCCGGCCTCCACATGTGACGCTGTACGAAACACTCTTGCCAAAACACTGCACTTGAATATAATTTAGAACAAACCGTCAATATGCAGGACATGGGGAGGTAGAGAAATAAGTTAAATGCTATTATTACAAGGCAGCGCTCAAAAAATCTGGAATCCAGAATACTGCACAAAGCTGTTAGCTTGCCATCTTCAAACAGTGCTAAGAAGGGCAGAGAAAACAAAGTGATGGTCCTCTTTTAGAAAAAAAGGGATTAAAGAGAAACCTTCCAAACACAATGGGTCATTGGAGGTAGCCCCAATGAAAGGATTTGGGGAACGACTGAGGAAATTTGAATATAGATGGTATTAGGGGATGGTTGCTATCTTCCAAGGGGAGGTAAGTGGGTCGGACAACGTCTTCATTCTTAAGAGACGTGTGCTGAGGCACTGAGAGGAGAAATATCTGGTGTCTTTCACGAAGTGACTTTACAGATGAAGACATATAGAGATACAAAGGAAGCAAATATAGCAAGATGTTCACAAATGATGGATTCAGGGGGTAGGAACTATACTATTCTTTCCGCTTTTCTGTATGTTTGAAACTTCATGAAATTTTTAGGGAAAAAAGTACAAGTAAAACTGGGAAAATTGGCATAAGATCGGTGGATTGTATCAACGTCTACATCCTAGATTTGGTCATGCACTATGGTCTGGCAAGGTGTTAACCACTGGAGACCACCACGCATCTGTCAGTTTATCATGCTGTGGGGGCTTGCACGTTGCTAAGACACTGGAAGATATGCCACTGGTGTTTCAGATATCAGCAGGGTCACCCATAGTGGACACGTTCCAGTGCAGCTCCCAAATCAAGACAGACTAGGAAGGAAGGCCTGATGATCTACTTCAGAAAACTAGCCAGCGAAAAGCCTATGGATCACAAGAGAATATCATCAGATATAGAGGTGGAAGATGAGCCTCTTAGGTTGGAAGGCATTCAGAATACAGAGTGGCTGCAACAATGGACTCCAACATATGACAACGGTGGACACAGCACAGGACCAGGCAATGTTCCATTCTGCTGTACATGGGGTCACTGTGAGTCGGAGCCAGCTGGACAACCAACAACCACCGCCAATGGAGAAATCACGGCACCCGTCTGCATCGTTTGTTACAACTGCATGTGAATCTTCAAGTATCCAAAATAAAGAATAAATGCTCTAAAATACAATTTTTTAAAACATCTAGGGGATAAAAACAGCAAATGATGACTTTGAAAGTTGAAAACAAACACAAAGAAGACAGAACTTCTCATTAGGACCTCTACTGTCCTGGGTGTAATGCCTTGCCCTCTGCTGGCTCCTCGTCTCCTCTCCCCGCCCCCGGCTGCTGGGCACCATGCTCCTGCCACTTGCAACCTTCACCTGCACCGCTGTTCCCGCTACACCTCAACATCCCACAGTTGGCTCCTACACAAAGGAGGCTTCCAACCTGTCCGACTCAGCCTACCTCTTTCAGGGGTACCATTCCTTTGCTGCATGGATAATTTTGGTGACCTGGAGTGGCTTTCTGAGTAACTGTGGTATTCTCCATTAGACAGTATGCCATGAGGCCTGTGTCTGCGGTGCCCACCGTGGTCTCTTCCCCAGCAGGGATGTGGAGTCATGTTCAGTAAATACCGTTGAGTGAATTCTATGTGACAGGATTCTGCACTCCAGGCTGAGGGACCAGCGTGGAGAGCTTTCATCAACACTTCATTTACAAGGCAATGGTCACAAGGAACAAAGAAGCAGATGTTTGGAGCTTGACTCTTCTTTCCACGCAGGATGCAATGTCAACAGGAGCTTTGAAATCACCCTTTGGTGGCCATTTCACATGGCGCCCCAGGCTCCTTAAGATACACATGCCTCCAGAGCAGGTTTCCCAGACTAGACGGTTCAAGAATTCTTGCTTCCCGAATCCCGTGAGCATCCTCACTCTCCTCTTCCCACGTGTAAGACATCAGCCTGGACCAGCGTAGCACAGGCTGATGGGTGACTGGTCTGGATACTGCGTCCGCCTGGCCAGACCAGGACAGGAGTCAGAAAAGGGTTCACAGAAAGGGTGGACTGACGCTGAGTGAGGGGGAAGGGAGCTCCAGGAAGAGGGTCCAGAAAGTGCTGAGGCTCTGATGCCTGCCTCAATCTGCTCTCCTAGGTGACCGACAAGTGGACCAGGGCTGGGGGAGCCCAAGGGGAGAGGCGGGGTCTGCACAGGAACACACGGGTCAGTGCAGGAGGCTGGGCTAGAGGTAAGATGGTGGCAGCACCCCTTCTGACAACCACCCATGGTCCTTTATCCTGCATTCACTCTACCCGTAGCCAGCAAGCAAAGCCTTGACCAGCCTGTCTTTGAGTAAGTCACTATTCACGCAGTCACTCAACAGACATTAAGGCCTGGGTGGTGCAAACAGTTAACACGCTTGGTATTAAGCAAAAGGTTGGAGATTCAAACCCACCCAGAGGCACCTCAGAAGAAAGACCTGGCAATCTGCTTCCTAAAGGTCACAGCCATAAAGGCCCTATGGAACACAGCTCTCTTCTGACACATGTGGGGTCACCATGAGTCAGAATCTACTGGACTGGAAGTGGTAAGTGGGAAATTGGGACAAATGGCAAGATGACACTCTTCCCTGGGAAGCCCAGAGCCCTCCTTCCCCCTCCTATCTTACTATGGAGAAGCTAAGCAATGTCTCTGCTTCTGTTCCCGACACTGGGGCTTGGACACAGGACAGCCAGCAGCCCGTGGGGCAGATCAGTATCCCACTGGAGAAGAAGCATCTGAAGGTCCTGCAAGGGTCACCATCCTAAAAGGATGGTGTGATGGTTAAGGTTGTGTGTTGAATTGGCTGGGCCATGATTCTCAGTGGTTTGGCAGTTATGATGTGTTTTGGCAGTTATGATGTGTTTTGGCAGTTATGATGTGTTTTGGCAGCTATGTAGTGATGTAATCATCTCCATAATGAGATCTGATATAATGTAATCACCTCCATGATGAGATCTGCTATGAGCAGCCAATCAGTTGAAAGGGAATTTCCTTAGGGGTGTGGCCTGCATCCAATATAGGCGGACTTTCTGGCAAACCTCGTGGGCTTTTGCTCACTCTGGATCCTGAATCTGGGACTTGAGCTAGCAGCTTACCTGCTGATTTGGGATTCGTCAGCCACTGCAGCTACGTGAGTCCGGAGAAGCTTCCAGCCTGACCCACGGACTTGAGACTTTCCAGTCTCTACAACCTTGTGAGCCATTTCCTTGATATAAACTCTCCTTCTCTCTCTCTCTCTCTATATATATATACATGCTTCACTGGTCTTGCTTCCCTAGAGAACGCAGCCTAAGACAGACCACCTCTATGGTGAGAGAGTTTAGAACTGAGCACGTCCATTCTTTTTCTTCTCTAGGTCAAGCCTTCAGCCCCACGGAGTGCTCTATATGCTCACCTCCCGGGGGTAGGAGGGGCCATCTGAGAGACTGTAAAAGTAACAGCTCTGTGGCATGTGACATGGGTACTGGTAACAAATGTAATTTTGTATGGGAATGCATCATCCAACCAGCAAGGGCTAAAGGTGAAGTAGTACTTATTAGAAGGAAATAGTCTTGATGAAATGCTTTAGGCTATTTTTACGTTGGAAGAGTAATTAACTTACAATTATTTAACACACCCAAACCAAACCCATTGCCATCAAGTCAATTCCAACTCATAGTGACCATATAGGACAGAGTAGAACTGCCCCATAGGGTTTCCAAGGCTGTAATCTTTATGAAGCAGACTGCCACATTTTTCTCCTGCAGAAGGGGTGGGTTCAAACCACCGACCTTTCGATTAACAGCTGGCCACCACCAGGGCTCTTCATTTAACACACAACAAATCTTCTGTTTTAGTTGTGATAGGTTGTCAGAGCAAAGAAATAGTCACATGCTGTCTGTGCGAGTTAATGGGTAGGAACACACATACAAAGGTTGTGATGGATTAACGACAATGAATAAGGTCTCTACTCCTTGCAGTGTGAATTTGTGATATTCCATCCACAAATGCCATTTTATAATGGAAATCAAATTGCCTGCAAATAATTGATTTTTGAAAGTGCTGTGTCTAAGGAAAATAAATCCCTTGGGAAATCAGGGCAGCAACATGCAGTGAATATCTGATCCACTCTTCTGGGGAAGGAGAGGACACACACTTGGAATTCAGCAAATTACAGTACTTTTTTTTAAACACCATTTTGTAAACACTTTTCATAATACATTGACGTTTCCCAATCAACAGCATCCCTTAACAGTTTGGATGAAATGTTTTTAACAGTTTGAACAGGTGGATTTTGATCATATGACTCTTCTGATAAAGGGCAAATTATTGATTGCAAACATAACTTTTCAGGATACTTATTGGTCTAAAAACTTTATTATTCAGTCTGGAATTTTATCTATGAAATTGTTCACGTACGTTCATACATTAACTATTCCTTTTGCTCACCAACACAGGGCTTAGAGATATATTTATTGAAGATTCAAATGTGGCATTAAATGGTACAAATATAAAATTCAATTTCGTTATGCCATGGTCGCTAAAGAGTCATAGGATATAAACGTGATATGTATTAAATATTGGAAATACCTGAAAATCTCCCCGCTTTAAATTGCTCTTTAATATTTGAAGAAAGCCCAAACAAATGCATACACGTTCTTGCTCCATTAGTTTTCTTTGTAGAAGATTGCTATGGTTTCAATGTGTACCTGCATTTTTGTTCTTCTTAGAAATTTTAAAAAATTAAGTATATATACACACATATGTGTATGTGTGTGCGTGTGTGTATATATTTACATATATGTATATATAAAATCAAATCACACCCACTGCCATCAACTCATTTCTGACTCGTAGCAGCCCAACAGGACAGAGTAGAACTGCCCCATAGGGTTTCCAAGCAGCAGCTGGTGGATTCGAACTGCTGACCTTTTGGTTAGCAGCCAAACTCTTAACTACTGCACCATCAGGTCTCCATATATGTGTGTGTGCGTGCGTGTGTATGTGTGTGTGTGTGTGTATACAGTGTCAATAAATAATAAGAACATTTTGTATTTAAAATAATTTTTTTTTTAAATGGTAAAAAGTATTCTCTTCTTCCATCCCTTAACTAGAAAGATGTCCAGGGCAACAAACCTCGCGTTGAAAACATTAGATGATCTCCCTGTATTCTACAGGAGATCCATGAGTCCTTAGACATGGAATCTGTCACATCAGACACCAGAGTTGAGGTCAACATCTAACTGGAAGTTGGCCAACAAGGGTGGCTGCAGCTTTGCAGAGGTTATCTGCCATATGGCACCGCAATTTCAGGTCATTAGGGAGGTAGAGCCCAGGCGATAAATTCCTCTCTATTACACTTTTGCTAATTAAGTCGTATCAGAGTTTTATTGCAGATGACCAGAAAATGATGTGGAGAGATGCTGATGAGCTTTCATGATTAGAGGTAATTAATAATGGAGTACATTGTACAATTTAAGGCTGAAAAGGCTCAAAAGGCTCCCTGGCTTCTGCGATTGAAAAGTGGACCAATACATAGACAGAAAGAAGTTAATGGTACTCTGTCCAGGGGTAACCCCTTCAAATTTTCAGTGACCCCCAAATCACAAGTGGAGCAACGGTGGGCAGAAAGGAAAAGCGATTTTCTCTGGGGTTAGACCCTGAGTCCTTCCCCGATTCAAGGCAAGAAGCAGGTGTGCAGGTGAGCACCCTCTCTTATGAGCAAACAGGCTTCAGCCAGGCTCCCCAGGGGCCTTCTGGAATTAATCGGAGGCAAGTTCCCATGCAAAAATCCTACTTAAAATGGAAATCTTTACGTCGATGGTGCGGTTGACTGCACCGCCTGCAATGCTGACCCCGGAACACTGCTACACGACAAAGGTCAAGGTCGACACTCACCACGACGTCTGTCCTCATTTTCCCAAAAGTCTTGATCAAATGGGCGTAATGATAATCTTCCATTTGCCGTAGAATCGCTGTCATACAAGCAACGAAGTTGCCCTGTAAACAAATTAAAACCTGGCATTAGATGGGACAGAACAGTCCTTACTGAGAGGAACCAAGAGGTTAGGATCGAAAACTGCCCAGGAAGAGGGTAGTTTCACACCTTGGTGAATGTACTAAATCCCACTGAACTGTTCACTTTACAATGGATAATTTTATGTTATGTGAATTTCATTTTAATTTAAGGGGGAAAAAAAAGTCTCCCAAGGAGAAGAAACAGGGCCTGTGTGTGAAGCCCCAGCTCTGCTCTGCCTTGCTGGTCGACCGGCAGACATTACTGGTCCCTTCTAACCTCTGGTTTTGTTATTTGCTCTCTCCTTCTGCCTAACTGCATTCACTGCTTCCAGACACATGGTCCTCCAGACTGGAAAAATAAGCTTTACCTAATGCACAGAAATTAAAGACAGGACTGAAACCACCCTCCCATATGTGCTATGCTCTCCTGGAATCCCGCTGCCCAATCACCAGGCAGAAAGCGCGTGCCGCCTCTCCACGGCAAAATCTGCTGTTTCCCCCCTTTGGCCAATTTAGAGGCAATCACCCCTGACTCCACAAAGAGTTATGGTCCAGCTCTCCTCGCCGGAAGAAGGAGGGGGGAAAGCGGGCTCGTCAGAATGTAAAGTGGGAGAAATGGGAATTTCTCATAGCAGACAGGGCTGCGAGGGAAGGGAAAGGAAGAGGAGGAAACCAGAAACCAGAAAACAAAATCGAGACGCGGAGAAAGCAAACAGCCAAGAGCTGTCAGCAGCAGATGGGGTGGCCAGTACCCGTGTAGACGTGGGTGTGCACGTGTGGTCCCTGGGTGGTTACAGGGTTTGTGCTCGACTACTAACCTAAAGGTGGGAGGTTCAAACCCACCCAGCGGCACCATGGCAGAAAAGCCTGGCAATCTGCTTCTGTAAAGATTACAGCCAAGAAAACCCTGGGAAGCAGCTCTGCTCTGTAACACATGGCATTGCCATGAGCAGAGTCTACCTGATGGCAGTGGGTTCGGTTTTGGTTTACAGGTGCACGTACTGGTCTGTGTGTGTGCAGATGCGTGCTTGTGTGTGTGCACTGAACGGGGTTGGTGAGCGGGTAGGAGACGGAGCAGTCCTATTGCCATTAATTGGAATTCCTCACCTTACGGGCTCTGGCTGACCATGTTTTAAAGCCTTCCTTACTTTTAAATATTTTCCCCTAAATTAATGACATTTTAAGGAACATAGGACATATATTTTCTCTCATTAAACCAGTATGAGTCGGGTAAAATTACAGGATGAGGCACATTTTAAGACTTCCCCTAAGTTACCCCATTAAATGAGTTCCCAAATTACATTCTACTACTAACTTGACTTTTACAAGCAATATATTTGAATGCTTAAATGTCTTTCATATAATTTGGAATGTTCGTTCTACAGCAAAATGTTAGAGTCAGCTATCTTTTTTCAATCTCTTTTATGTCTACAGTATACACATATATGCTTCCAAATGAGTCCTCAAAGGATGCATTACGTAAATTGAATAAATACAATAATGATAATAAGGTAGCTTCCATTTGCCCAGAAATATAAATTATTTGTGAATGATGATAATTGCTGAGATTCAGCTTCAAAGTTGATGTTCAGGGAAACAGCTAAATAACGCTTGTTTTCCTTTAGAGGAAGATTTTCAAAATGTCTATTTATGAATATGAACTCTTGAAATACATAAATATTTGGCATCCCACTGAGCTGAAGAGAAGTTGCCCCTGTATCTTGTTTGCTCCTTGCAAGATAACATCTTTTGGGTAAGGGTCATAATATCGCATGTTAATCAACTTGGATGTGCACTGTACTGAGGGCTATGCAAGCATGGCTTCCTTCAACCACACAATAGATCCGATCTTGTCTCCATTTATAGGCAGTGAAACTGAGGCATAGAGCTCTTACTCTCAATGAGCAAATGGTAAAGTTGGGTGGGGTACCAGAACAGGGGGGAATAACAGAAAATAGAGAGAGAAATGTTGAAGATTTGTTGGCAGAAAACTTCCCTGATATTGTGAAAGATGACAAGATATCTATCCAAGATGCTTATTGAAACCCACATAAGGTAAATCCCAAAAGAAAGTCAACAAGATATATTATAATCAAACTTGCCAAAACTAAAGAGAAATTTTTAAAAGTGGCTAGGGATAAAAGAAAAGTAATCTAAAAAGGAGAGTCAACAAGACTAAGCTTGGACTACTCAGCAGAAACCATGCAGGCAAGAAGGCAATGGGATAACATATATAAAGCCTTGAGGGAAAAAAATTGTCAGCCAAGAATCATATATCGAGGAAAACTGTCTCTCAAATATGATGGCGACATTTGGTCATTTCTAGATAAACATAAGTTTAGGGAATTTGCAAAAACCAAACCAAAATTACAAGAAACACTAAAGGGAGTCCTCCGGTTAGAAAATCAGTAACATCAGTTAAAACAACCCAAGACTAGAACACAGGACAGAGCAACCAGATATCAACCCAGATAGGGAAGTCACAAAAATAAATCAAAGCTAAAATGCTGAAAATAGGGAAACAGAGATATAAATAGGTAAAAAATGACAACATTAAAACAAAAAGGGGGACTAAAAAATGTAGTCATAGATCCTTCATATGGACAGGAAGACAAGATGATGTAAAGAAATAAAGAGTGGTTTAAACCTAGAAAAATAGGCATAAATATTAAGGTAACCACAAAGGAAACTAAAAATCCTAAACATCAAAATAAAAAACAAGAAAAACATAAAGACTCAGCAAATACAAAATCAACAACAACGAAAAAGATTAAAAGAAAATGCATAAAGAAAAATGACACAGCACAGAAAATTAAGTGGAACAGAAATTGTCAAAAACACACAAAAAAGTCATCAAAATGACAGTGCTAAACACATACCTATCAATAATTACGCTGAATGTAAATGGACTAAATGTACCAATAAAGACACAGAGAGTGGCAGAATGAATTAAAAAACACGATTAGTCTATATGTTGACTACAAGAGACACACCTTAAACTTAAAGACATAAACAAACTAAAACTCAGAAGATGGAAAAAATATATCAAGCAAACAACACTCAAAAAAAAGCAGAAGTGGCAATAATGATTTCTGACCAAACAGACTTTAAAGTAAAACTCAAACCACAAAGGATAAGGAAGGATGCTATTTAATGATTTAAAGGGTCAACACACCAGGAGGATAAATAACCAAAATAAATATTTATGCACCCAATGACAGGGCTACAAAATACACAAAACAAACTCTAACACCATTGAAACCAGAGGTAGATAGCTCTACGATAATAGTAGCAGACTTCAACACATCACTGTTGGTGAAGGACAGAACATCCAGAAAGAAGCTCAATAAAGACACGGATGATCTAAATGTCACAATCAAACAACTTGATCTCATAGACATATACAGAACACTCCACCCAACAGCAGCCAAATATACCTTCTTTTCCAACGCACATGGAACAGTCTCCAGAATAGACCACATATTAGGCCATAAAGCAAGCCTTAACAAAGTACAAAGCATGGAAATATTACAAAGCATCTTTTCTGACCATAAAGCCATAAAAGCAGAAATCAACAACAGAAAAAGCAAGGAAAAAAAATCAAACACACGGAAACTGAACAACATCTTGCTCAAAAAGTAATGGGTTATAGAAGAAATTAAGGATGGAATAAAGAAATTCACAGAATCGAATGAGATGAAAACACATCCTATCACAACTTTTGGGACACAGCAAAAGCAGTGCTCAGAGGTCAATTTATAAATGCACACATCCAAAAAAGAAGAATAGGCCAAAATCAAAACATTAACCCTACAACTCAAACAAGTACAAAGACAGCAGCAAAACAAGCCCTTGAGTGCCAGAAGAAATGAAATAATAAGAATTAGAGCAGAATTAAATGAAACAGAGAATAAAAAAACAATTGAAAGAGTTAACAAGACCAAAAGCTGGTTCCTTGAAAAGATCAACAAAATCGATAAGCCACTGGCCAAACTGCAAAAAGAAAAACAGGAGAGGAAGCAAATAACCCATATAAGAAATGAGATGGATGATATCACAACAGACCCAACTGAAATTAAAAGACTCAGAACAGAAAACTATGAAAAATTGTACTCTAACAAATTTGAAAACCTAGAAGGAATGGACAAATTTCTAGTAACTCACTACCTACCTAAACTAACACAAACAGACATTGAACCACTAAATAAACCCATAACAAAAGAAGAGATTGAAAAGCTAACCTAAAAAAAACTCCCAACAATAAAAAGCCCTGGCCCTAATGGTCTCACTAGAGAATTCTACCAAACTTTCAGAGAAGAGTTAACACTGCTATGACTAAAGGTATTCCAGAGCATAGAAAAGGATGGAATACTCCCAAACTCATTCTATGAAGCCAGCATAACCCTGATACCAAAACCAGGTAAAGACATCACAAAAAAAAGAAGAAAGGCACAAAATCAAAACATTAACTACAGAACTCAAACAAATAGAAAGAGAACAGCAAAAAAATAAAAAAAAGTCCACAGCCACAAGAAGAAAGGAAATAATAAACATCAGAGCAGAAATAAATGAAATAGAGTATAGAAAAAAAATAGAAAGAATCAACAAAGCCAAAAGTTGGTTCTTTGAAAGACTCAACAAAATCGACAAACCACTGCCAGACTGACCAAAGAAAAGCAGGAAAGGAGGCGAATAACCCAAATAAGAAATGAAATGGGGGACATTACAATAGACCAAACGGAAATAAAAAGGATCATAAGAGAAAATTATGAAAACTCTTCCAGATTTGAAAACCTAGAGGAAATGGATATTTTTCTATGAACACACCACCTACCCAAACTATCACAAAGTGATATTGAAAATCTGAACAGACCCATAACAAGAGAAGAGATTGAAAAGGTAATAAAAAAAACTCTCAACAATAAAAACAGCCCTGGCCCAGATGGCTTGACTGGAGAATTTTACCAAACATTCAGAGAAGT